ATGTGTGACAAGAACATTCTCAGCCAACAAAGGGGCCCCATGGTGCAGAGATCATGGTAGATTTGAAGAATAAAAAAAAAAAATCCAGTGTGGCTCAGCAGTGTGAGTGTGCCAGGAAGTGGGATGAGGTGAGGATGGCGATCAGCAGGGGTTGGGTCCAGCAAGGGGTGAGGCAGTAGGGAGATGCCAGATGGCTTTCTATGTACAGCCACAAGTCGTGACTATTGTGACAAGTGGGCTAAAGTGAGACTGTCAAATGGTTCAGGTAAGGGATAAAGGCAACTTGATATAATGCAGCCACTGAAGTCTCATTTTGCTTTAATGCACGTTTCTTTGTTTGTTTTAATAAAAAAAGGAAGCCCTTTTGTGCTGGCTTCTCACCTGGCACCTGCAATCCTGACAGCTGTCTGCTCTGAGAGAATACACACTGCATGGCTGGGTTCTCCTTCTGCCTGGGTGGGACTGACTCCCTGGAGAGCCAGCCCTGGGACACACCACCATCACCCCAGGCTCCTGTACTCTCCCTCCTCCCCGGAACGATGGACTCCGGCTGCACAGATTCTCCATTTGTCACATAACTGATATTTAACAAATATGTTCTAAATAAGATACACCTGGGAGATGAAGTTAAATCTTTTTTTTCTCTCTCTTGTGAAATGAAGGCTTCACCAGGACCAGCTCCACAAAAAATAAACTGGGTGATTTAATCCAACAGAACAGCTTGAGAACCAAATGAAGGTCTTTGCAGTGACCCTGGGAAGACCTCATCTGACTGCGTCGTCTTTCAAACCCACTTTCTGCTATTTCAGCTTTTGCCAGAAATTGATGGATTAATTCCTCTAACAGTATGATGGATCCCTTAAGAAATATAAATACCCCAGTGGAGATAACACAGCGCCTTTATCAATCATTTTAGCTTTAATGAATCTATCATATTTCCTCTTGAGAGAAAGCAGATTTTAATAGAGAAAAAGATGGAAAAAGAGTATGAGTGAATTGTTGTAGCTTGCTGTGGAGAAAAGGGCAAACGTGGAGAAAGATGAGAGTTTTGGAATGCTCATACTCAACGACCTAATCACTCCTCTTTATGGCAGGTAAACCTAGAGAAGCAATAATAAACACTCAGCCAGAGTTTATGTGCAAACATAGTCATTACAATGCTATTTCTAATAAAAAAAAACATGGAAGCAGCTTAAATATCTGAAGATAAGTGTATGGATAAGCATTTATGCTATATTTTTAAATTTTATTCTTATTATAAAAGAGGATCATATTTATGGAGAGACACAGGAGAAGATTTTCCATCTGCTTGTTTGCTCCCTAAATAGCCAGAATGGCCAGAGCTGAGCTAATCCGAAGCCAGGAGCCAGGAGCTTCTTCCAAATCTCCCACATGGGTGCAGGGTTCTAAGGACTTGGGCCTTCCTCCACTGCTTTCCCAGGCCACAAGCAGAGAGCTGGATGGGAAATGGAGCCGCTAGAACACAAACAGGCACCTGTATGGGATCCCGGTACTTGTAAGATGAGGATTTAGCCATTCAGCCCTTATGTTATAGTTTGTGGTGCAACATTGTTTGGTTATTTATGTCTTTAAAAACCTTACTAACATGAGACAAAAGTCCCAATGACAGTATTTATGCATGCACTTATAAAATACATATGAAAATTGCACCTATATAGTATAATTTCAAATATCTAAAAAATAGGTGCACCTTTGTGTATTTTCTAGTTTAAAAAGTGAATGTGGGGATGGGTGTTTGGTCTAGCAGTAGAGATGGCTGGTAGGGACACCCACATCCCTCACTGGAATGGCTTTCCATACCCAGCTTTGCTTCCAGGCCCCAGCTTCTTGCTAATGCACAGCCTTGAAGGCAGTGGGTGTGGCTCAAATGCTTGGGCTCCTGCCATTTATGTGGGAAACCTGAATTAAATTGGGGGCTCCTGGCTTCAGCCTGGCCCAGCCCTACCTGTTGTGAGAATTCGAGGAGGGAGCCAGTGAAGCAGACACTTCTCTCTCTCTCTCTCTCTCTCACCTGTCCTGTATGTGTGTGTATCTCAAATAAAAGAAATGCAAATTCTTAGAAAGGTGTCGTTCTGAGTCTCCCTAACAAACATTATTGGAAAGGAGAGATGGTTTCAGATGCTGTAGCTTTCTCTGTGGCTTCATTAGCCAAATGACCATATATGTTCTGAAAGACATACCTGGGAGGGTTTGGCTGAAATTGAATTTATGGGGCAGGTTTTTAGAAGTGAGTCATGGAAGGCGTTCCTTGTCTCTCCGAGATATGCCTGTTGTGGGGAAGGGGATGTGAAGAAAACTGAAATGCATTGGTGAAGGAGCCGTTTTGTTACTTTCTCAGCATTCAGTCTGCTCCCCCACACTTGGCCAGGATGCCCAAGGACTGGTTGCTCTGTGAGCTGGCATCTACCGAAGTGCGGTTGCTCTCTCGGGCTGCTGAGTTCCAACGGAAGTTCGGTTTCAAGTGTGAAACAGTGAGGAAATGCAAAAACGTGTGAAAAGGCGCAGAAATGCCAAAGTCGCAATTCGCAGCATGCCTCCAACGTTCCCCAGGCTGTGGAACGCCTCTGACTGATGATTTCCATGACTGAGTATGCAAAACAATGACTTATTGTTTCTCATGATTCTGCCTGTTGCCTAGGCTCACGGTGCAGTTCTTCCACTCTGTGCTGTTTGTCTAACGGTGCTCATGTGGTTGGATTCAGCTGCCAAGTTGCTCAGGGGTCAAGTCTGTCCTCCCTTCACATGTACTATAGTTGAATGGAGTCCTCTGCTTTCCTCTCCTAAACTCTCATAATAATCTGGGGCTAATTCCCATTGGGATTTTTCCAGTGAGATTGCTTACATGTTTTTACATGATTATTGCATTCCAAGAGAGAGAAATTGGAGCTCCCACGGCTCCTTAAGCTGTTACAGTAGCACTCACAGTAGCATCATTCCTGTATTCCATGGGCCAAAGCAAGTTATGGAAAGCACACATCCAAGGAGAAGGGAAAGAGGTTCTACCACTTATTTTTGTATAAGCTTTATTTATTTTTATTTGAAAGGCAGAGTAATAGAAAGAAAAAGGGAAAGAGAGAGATCTTTCATCTGCTGGTTCCCTCCCCTAATGTCCACAATAGTTGGAGCTGCGTCATTCTGAAGCTGGGAGCCAGGAACTTCTTTTGGGTCTCCTACATGGGTGCAGGGCCTAAGGACATCGGCCATCATCTGTTACTTTCCCAGGGCATCAGCAGGGATCTGGTTTAAAAAGCACAAGTTCCAGGACTCAAACCAGTGTCCCCATAGGATGTCTGTGTTGCAGGTGAAGACCCAGCCTGCTGTGCCATGGTACCAGCCCCAAGTCTGTACCTCTTAATGGGAGGGATGGGAAGCCATCTTGGAAAATGATCGACCACAATAGTTTTCCATGTAGTTCTTCAGACAGAAGCTTGAAGGCTTTTTCAGTGTCATCTAATTCAACCGCTGCTCTGGGTTGACTGTGGATGCATGTGCTGAAATCTAGACACGAATGTGATGGCGTTGGGGTGATAGGATTCCTCTTGAGCACTGTCGATTCTTTTGAAAACGAGCCTCAGAGATGCTTCCTAGTACTGTGTGAGGGCACCACGATGCCATCTATGAACCAGGAAGTGGGCCTTCACCAGACGCCAAGTCGAATGATGCCGTGGTCTTTGGCTTCCCAGCATCTCTGTGAGAAACTCCTGTTGTGTCTAAGCCATCCAGTCTACAGCCTCCCAAATGGAAACTAAGACAGCATCCTCATTTCACAGATGCAAAGACTGGCACTTGGGAGGTCAAGCCACCAGCCCAGCTCAGCTCACTTAGTGGAGGAGCACAACTGAGATCCCGGGTTTTCCTCCGGCTCAGGTTGCCTTGCTGTTCAGTCCTTCTCTGGTTCAAGGTGGTCCCTGTATGTTTGGAGAACACAGGGTGCAGGAGAAAGAGAGGGTCTGTCTGGATTTCCAGTTCTATCCACGTATCTGCCCACCTGTTCCTTGGTGGAGCACTGAGAGTCACATTGGCCAGCATGGAACAAGAATGTCTTCCTCGTTGCCTGACCTGCTCGTTCTGTGCATAAAATGATGCCAGGCTTTACCACAAACCTAAAATAAAAAAAAAAAAGAAAGAAAGCTGCAGAAACCCTAGCAGATATCATCAAGTGAAACCCAGCACATTGATTTAATATTCAGCATAGTCTATTGCCCTGCAGTCCATTTTTCTAAAATCAGCAGAGAGCTCCTGCAATATGAAAAGTGTTAATTGTTTGGAAATGAAGCAGTAAGCTTCAAATGATTAATTCCCTTCAGTATGACCACAAAACCTGGAAATCAGGAAGAGGTTCCTTTGTGCAGAGCATGACCACCTTTCTGGATTACTTCCAGCTGGGCGGAGGACAGATAATGATTTCATATCGAAGGCAGTATTTATTGTCAAATGCAGGTCTGCCATCCTTCCCACCCTCTAGAGCAACAACTGGCTCTTACAGAACGTTAAGGCAAATGAAGAGCGTAATTCTTAGCTTTATGGCTCCTCGAAGATCCTACATTTCAACAGAAGAACTGGCAGAGGCACTCGTCTGCTGAGCTGAGTGAATTATAGGTCAAATCAAAGCTTGCTCTCCATCCTTGTAGCATTCACTGCTTTGACAGATTAAATAAATTGCATTTGTATACTACAAAAAAAAAAACAATTTTGGGAAAGACATAAGGACACAAAGGAGAAAATGCAGATCTTTTACAAATTCACCTCTAGTCAAATTAAGTATATGTTTTTCCTAGCAGACACAGTATTAAATATAGAGATTAAGAAAGATAAGCGTTTAGACACAAACATTTTTCTTTTAAAAAGGGGGATGACACTAAAATAATTTTGCAGTTAAATTTCTTTGTGTTTTATCTGCCTGCAACAAAACCACTTTTCATGTCATGAACTGCCTTTCCACCAAACGAGGAAGGTAAATCTTTGTGTTGTTTCAACAGGACAGTGATATGGAAGCCTTGATCAGGTGTTTGGAAAACGTTCTGGGGTGCTCGTCTCTAGGTAAGTAATTTGTGTTTTCCAGATTCCTGAATATAGCAACACCTATTGGTCGCATTGGGATATCTGGTCAGCAGGAAGCTTGGAAGGAAGCCAACGCACATGTCAACCCACATGTGTCTGACAGAAGAGGGAGCTGAGGCAGGCAGAGCTGGGGCGCCTGGCCCCAGGACCAGCAAACGCAACAAAGAATCGCTTCCTATGGCTGTTATTGACCTCAGTCTCCAAAGAGAAATTGTTGGCATTCAGGGGCCCCTGGTGGTCGCGTGGTGGTCTGGTGGTGCTTCCAGACAGTTCCACAGACCCTGGCGAAGGGGGCCACCCTACCTCGCTTGTCCTGTGAAAGTGGATTGCATTCAGTCAAGCCGAAAGCCCCATCGCTCTGAAGGTCACTCAGTTATTGGAAGAGACTTGATCTGAAAAACAAAGCCGAAACTTCTTTAGCGTTGTCAGTCTCAATAAATGGGATTGCAGTGCTCCAAGGATAAAACCCCATTTCTTAGTTTCTTCTATTTCTTTTTAAATCTGAAAATCCCACTGTGATGACTTCTAGTACTGGACGATAAATTGTCACACAATAATGTTTGTTCTTACAGGTCCTGGATAAAGAGTTGTTTTTTTTTCTTTCTTTCTTACTTTAAAATTTGCTTGTGTCATCTTTATTTTACAAGTTTTAGAGGCATGGCCATTGGCCATTTCTTATTTCTTCAGAAGAAGTAGCAGGAATAAAGATGAAGAATTAAATTTTTAGGTGGCAAACAACATTCACCATTATTTAATTAGGAACATTATGCATTCTTTAGCTCTCCCCCCCCCATTATTTTATATTTCCATGTAAAAAGCCTCAGTCTTAATACACTTCTTTGACTTCTTCTCTTGACCACGTCCTGTGATCAGGAATTGCATGTCGGTGAGTCTTGCTTTCACTCCTCTGTTGGAGCCACTTTCGTCCTCTGGCCTCCTTGGGGCCTCCAGGGCGAGGCCAGGCAGCGGAGGGAGCTCAGCAGCGGGGCCATGCAGCAGCACCTGCACTGCCCACTCGCGTTCTCAGTCTAGCACTGCGTCCAGCGCAGAAGCAGTCTGTAGCACTTATTTCAAAATATTTTAAGAGAAATGATAATGACGACCATGCTCCTTTAGCAGTTCCACGCAAAACAGCTCTCAGCCTCTCTGCTTTCCAACTCAGTTACCACTTAGCCATCTGATGTGTATCTTCCAGAATCTTCTAACAGCTTTCTTTCTTCTGCTTCCTTTTCCCCTGTAGGTTTATATCAGCCTTATTCCTTTTCTGTCACATTAGTGGGAGGCAATGACGAATGTATATTTTTATTCCATGGTCCTAATGCTCATTTCTATAAAATCATTCAACCCAAAAGGAAATTTAGATATCATCTATTCAGTGTTATTTAATCTCTGCAGCCAAAGCTGTCGTTTCTAAAACACAATCTTATGCAACAATCCTCTTTATAAATAGATAAGATTGAACCCAAGTGCCTAAGCTGTGTGTGGAGAGGCAAGGACACCAGGGCTCAGAGACACGAGCCAAGTAAGCCACTGACGCTTAGGAAGGCTTGGGGTGTGGAGCCCCAGTTATGACTGAAGGTGGGGTGTGGGTGAAGATGAAACGGGGATGGGTTGACAACATAAATAAGAAATGAGATTCCAGGTCCCTTCCTCTCCACTGGCACAGCCGATGGGCTCTTCCGCACAGTCAAGCAGAAGATACTTGATTTGATTTTGGGGGACAATGCATCCAGGAGGCTCTGGATTGGGGGACAGTGGGGACACCAAAGAGAAAGGGTGATGTGGCGTGATGGAGACAGAGGGATGGAACAAGCATCTGCCTGTGGAATAGCAAAGCCATTCATGCCTAAATATGAACATAGAGCCAGCTGGCCCCTGATAATCCAGGAAACTCAATAAAAAAGAGAGAAAACAATGTTTAAAAGTTGGATATGGCTGCTTTTTTGTTTGTTTGTTTGTTTTCAACTTGTAAGCTACTTGAATGCTTAGATTTTTTTTAGATAAGCATTGAAAAAGAAAACAGCCCAATTCTCTAATAAACCTTCTACAGAGGTTATTCTACGATTTTTGGATATTTTTTTTTGTTGATGAGACGATAATGTTAAAACTAAATTTATAAATTAAAAAGCTAAATTATAAAACCAAGAATTAAACGTCTCCTAACGTTAAAATAGCTTCTTTTCAGATTGTCTGATGGCATGAATCTGAGTAAATTCATCAAAGCTTAAAAATTCTCCAGTTTTGAGGTCCTCTGCTCTGCTTTTATCCTGTCCTCTGTTGAAGTGGTTCATGGGACATTTCCGAGATGACTGTCTGATAAGCTGCTGCAGCGTTTGCTGTCTGCAGGTGTGAGGACAGAAATCCTTGACCCCTCCCACTGCCTCGTAGGACTCGGATGCCCCGTGACAGTGATCTCCACGCCAGCCCCGAAGTGGTGGAGTCCTGCAGGTGCTGCTGCTGCAACTATACATTTATAATTATAACAAAGTATAATGGTGGAAGGAAGAAATAGCGAGGGAAGATGGGAAGGGACCTGGGTTTAGTTAGGGAAAGCCACTTCAGATCCCCCGGCCTCCAGGACTGTGAGACACTTCATCTTGGTGTCTGAGACTATCGTGTTGGGGGTGATTTGTTACAGTGCTCGTGGAAAACAGGTTCTTCTACAGTAGAAATGCCCCGCCATCCCTCCCTCCCTCCGGCAGACAGATCACTTTCTTTGGGGGTTTTTACTGCTTCCACTGCAATGCTCATCCTGACACACTTTATTTCCAGTGTGTGTGGAAGAGCTAATCTTTATCCAGTTCTATTCTGCCCGCGATGAGTAAGACTCACCCCGAACACTCCCAAACATTAACACATACAACCTCCACTCACAGATGGATGTGTCATCACTCTTCCCCCCCACCTTAAGATTTCTTTATTTTTATTTGAGAAGCAGATTTCCAGAAAAACAAGAGACAGCAAGCAAGAGGGGCAGATCTTCCCTGCTCTATTATAACTCCACAAATGACCCAAAGGGCAAGAGCTGGGCTGATCTGAAGACAGGAGCCAGGAGCTTCTTGCAGGTGTCCCATGTGGATGTAAGGACCCAAAGCCCTGGCCGTTTTACACTGCTTTCCCAGACACATTAGCAGGGAGCTGGATTGGAAGTGCAGCAGGAGGGACTCCATGTGGGATGCTGGTACTATACACAGTGGCTTAAGCTACAGCGCCACGGTGCTAGCCCCGGTGTGTCTCTTTAATTTGCTGTTCTAATGCGTGTAATATATCAGGCACCCATCCTGATATTCCATCCTGGGAACATTAGATGATGCACTTCCCAGGTGACCAAACAGCTGCCTCCTTGGCTTGGGTGTCACCGTAGGGTTGCTTGAATGTCCTCTTGGCCACTAATGTTGGACACTGGGCAGAATCTATAAAATGACTTCCATGGGTGCCCTGGGCACCTGTCTGGAGCCCTCGCACCTTTCCTACCCCCACCTGGACAAACTCATTCTCAGCCTCTGACATGACGTCTGGAGGGATGTGTCTGTGGCTGATGCTGGTCATGTGCCACACAGGAGGCTGTGGAGTCACTTTCTCGCATTTGTAGCTTTCACAGAGGCCAGAACCTCTCACACAAAGCAGAAGCTTCCCCTAACTAGGGAAGAGTGAAAGTGAATCCCAAAATAAGGATGGCCTGTGATAGTGATGAACTTTGCTGTTGTAAGGATGGAAGACAGAAAAACAAAAACAAACAAACCTTGAGGATATGGAAGGCGACCCTAGCCTTGCAGTGTCTTGTGGAAATACCCCCTCCTTCCGTTTCCATGGAAACTGAGATGGGAGGTAATTACTGTTCAGTCTGTCTTCTGTGCTGCTGACTGTAGAGGGAGCAGGTGCTTCAGACAGCAACGGTCAGGCCTGCCTTTCACAGGTAATGAGGATCTCGGTTGCGGTGGATAATGCAGGGTCCTACTCAGAGAGCTCAGGCTTGGCCCTGGCTCTGCCTCCTCATCTGGGACCTCAGCATCCCGCTGCGACATTCTTCCAGGTCTTGCTCAGTCGGAGCTGGATCCAAAGCAGAGCATTCAGGGCTTGAACTGGTGCCCATATGGGAGGTCTGCATGTAAGGCAGCGTCTTTACTAGCCATGCCACAACACCAATCCCACCTCCTCCGGGGTTTGTTGGTTCACCCTTTTCTTCTCTAAAAAGTTTTATTTATTTTTATTGGAAAGGCAGATATATAGAGAAAAGGAGAGACACAGGGAAAGATATTACATATGTTGGTTGGCTCACTCCCCAAGTGGCTGCAACAGCTGGAGCTGAACCGATCTGAAGCCAGGAGCAAGGAGCATCTTATGGGTCTCCCACGTAGGTGCAGGATCCCAAGGCTTTGGGCTGCCATCTGCTGCTTTCCTAGGCCATAAGCAAGGTGCTAGGTGGGACGTGTAGTAGCCAGGAAATGAACTGGCATCCATAAGAGCTGCCAGTACCACAGGGCAGCGAATGAGCTGCTTGAGCCATCGTGCCTGCTCCATGGGTTTTTTTTTAACCTAAGGTTGAGCATTTGTCTTAAGGAGATCACCAGAGTTGCGTGCAAAGACAAGCTCACACGGAGGTGCATGGCGTGTTGCTCACAATAGTGAAAAATTGAAATCAAAATAAATGCATGTGTATCTTCTAGGGCGAAAGTGTTTTTTAAATGTTTGTTTAAGATGATTAGTGTCTTTTGGCAAGGAAGGTGACAGAACAGTGACTGATTCAAACACACGCACCTAAACACACACAGTGTGTGTACAACCTGGGGACCCAGGCGTTAATCACGGTTCCTCGGCGTGCTCACCCTGTCAGTATGTTTTAATTCCTCTGTAGCGTACATGGACAACTTCTAGGATTATTTTCAATGAAAAGGACAGTGCTAATCTATTTACGTATTTTATCAAGCCCAGCCTGCTGTTACAGAAACACAAGGTTTTTTTTTTTTTTCTTTAAGCTA